TATGTATGTCAGGGTAAACAACACAACAAGGTTACTACCTATGTATGTCAGGGTAAACAACACAACAAGGTTACTACCTATGTATGTCAGGGTAAACAACACAACAAGGTTACTACCTATGTATGTCAGGGTAAACAACACAACAAGGTTACCACCTATGTATGTCAGGGTAAACAACACAACATTCACACCATTTATGNCCAAGTGTCAGTATATCAGTTACCCAAGTGTCAGTATATCAATTACGGTCACTGTAGTGTTATTTAAGGTATGAATTTTCCATGTTTTGTTTAGTGTTTCAAGTACTGTGCTACTGATTTATGCTGATACATTATCAATTGTATTACAATTACTCTGTTACAGGTAGATCAGTTCCTGGACAACTTGGTCAATTATGACAAAGACAACATCCATGAGAATTGTCTTAAGGCAGCAGATCCTTACCTGAGTGATAAAGAATTTGATCCTGAGTTTATCAGGGCTAAATCTATTGCTGCTTCAGGTCTGTGCTCTTGGGCAGTTAACATAGTCATGTATTACAAGGTATTCTGTACCGTAGAACCAAAGCGACTTGCCCTTCAACAAGCAAACTCTGACTTGTCTTCTGCAAGAGAAAAGTTGAGAATCATTACAAACAAGATTCAACAGCTAGAGGCTGATTTGGGAAAGTTGACTGCAGAGTTTGAACGTGCTACATCTGAGAAACTGAAGTGTCAACAGGAAGCAGAGATGACAGCAAAGACAATTGAGTTAGCCAACCGTCTGGTTGGTGGTCTAGCATCAGAAAACGTACGCTGGGCTGATGCAATCAATGACTTCAGAGAGCAAGAGAAGACCCTTGCTGGAGATGTGTTGCTGATCACTGCATTTGTGTCCTATTCTGGCTGCTTCACCAAACAGTATCGTTTAGATATGATGGACAACCACTGGCTCCCATACCTGAATGCCCTGAAAATCCCTATTCCTGTGTCCGAAGGATTGGATCCATTGACTCTTTTGACAGATGATGCCCAGATTGCTTCTTGGAACAATGAGAGTCTCCCTAGTGACAGGATGTCTACCGAAAATGCCACTATTTTGAGCAACTGTGAACGTTGGCCCTTGATGATTGATCCCCAGTTACAGGGTATCAAGTGGATCAAAACAAAGTATGGAGCTGACCTGAAGATAGTTCAGCTTGGACAGAAAGGATATCTGGATGCCCTAGAACGAGCAGTCTCATCAGGAGATGTGGTGTTAATTGAGAACTTGGGAGAATATGTGGATCCTGTCCTAGATCCTCTCATTGGCCGCAACACCATAAAAAAAGGACGTGCCATCAAAATGGGAGACAAGGAGGTTGAGTACCACAAAGATTTCCGACTCATTCTGCAGACCAAGTTGGCTAACCCTCACTACCAGCCAGAAATGCAGGCTCAGGCAACTCTCATCAATTTTACTGTGACCAAGGATGGTCTGGAGGACCAGCTGTTGGCTGCTGTAGTCAGCAAGGAAAGGCCTGACCTTGAGAAACTCAAAGCAGACCTCACTCGTCAACAGAACCAGTTCAAAATCACCCTGAAAGAGTTGGAGGACTCACTTCTTGCCCGTTTGTCTGCAGCTGAAGGGAACTTTTTGGGAGACTATGCACTAGTAGAAAATCTGGAAACTACAAAGAGAACTGCTGCAGAAATTGAAGTGAAAGCTGAAGAGGCTAAGAAAACCGAGATAGAAATTAACATTGCTCGCGAAATCTACAGACCAGCAGCTGCCCGGGCTTCCCTACTCTATTTCATTCTCAATGACATGCACAAAATCCACCCTATGTATCAGTTCTCTCTGAAGGTAAGCATCACAGGTTTCAAACCATTTATCTGTATGCCAGGGTAAACAACACAACATTCAAACCATTTATCTGTATGCCAGTGTAAACAACACAACAAGGTAACCACCTATGTATGTCAGGGTAAACAACACAACAAGGTTACTACCTATGTATGTCAGGGTAAACAACACAACATTCACACCATTTATGTGTATGTCAGAGTAAACAACACAACAAGGTTACCACCTATGTATGTCAGGGTAAACAACACAACAAGGTTACTACCTATGTATGTCAGGGTAAACAGCACAACAAGGTTATTACCTATGTATGTCAGGGTAAACCACACAACAAGGTTACCACCTATGTATGTCAGGGGAAACAACACAACATTCACACCATTTATGTGTATGTCAGGGTAAACAACACAACAAGGTTACTTCCTATGTATGTCAGGGTAAACAACACAACAAGGTTACTTCCTATGTATGTCAGGGTAAACAACACAACAAGGATACCACCTATGTATGTCAGGGTAAACAACACAAGGATACCACCTATGTATGTCAGGGTAAACAACACAAGGTTACCACCTATGTATGTCAGGGTAAACAACACAACAAGGTTATTACCTATGTATGTCAGGGTAAACCACACAACAAGGTTACCACCTATGTATGTCAGGGGAAACAACACAACATTCACACCATTTATGTGTATGTCAGGGTAAACAACACAACAAGGTTACCACCTATGGATGTCAGGGTAAACAACACAACAAGGTTACTACCTATGTATGTCAGGGTAAACAGCACAACAAGGTTATTACCTATGTATGTCAGGGTAAACCACACAACAAGGTTACTACCTATGTATGTCAGGGCAAACAACACAACAAGGTTACCACCTATGTATGTCAGAGTAAACAACACAACAAGGTTACAACCTATGTATGTCAGGGTAAACAACACAAGGATACCACCTATGTATGTCAGGGTAAACAACACAACATTCACGCCATTTATGTGTATGTCAGAGTAAACAACACAACAAGGTTACAACCTATGTATGTCAGGGTAAACAACACAAGGATACCACCTATGTATGTCAGGGTAAACAACACAAGGTTACCACCTATGTATGTCAGGGTAAACAACACAAGGATACCACCTATGTATGTCAGGGTAAACAACACAAAAAGGTTACTACCTATGTATGTCAGGGTAAACAACACACCATTCACACCATTTATGTGTATGTCAGAGTAAACACCACAACAAGGTTACCACCTATGTATGTCAGGGTAAACAACACAACAAGATTACTGTTGCTAGATATAGAAAGTCATTACACAATTCAGTGTTATCTCTCTAGCTTCTTCATTTCTTAATATATTTTGATCAAAGTTTATACAGATTTCAGGCAAACGTCAGATGAGTTCATGTTTCAATTGAGGTCACTGCATGTTGCTATTCATAGAAATATTTCTCTATATTTCTTCATTTATCACCTTGAATTAATTGACAATTCCTTGAATGTGTACATATTTTAGGGTATCAAGATCAAAGCTGTTGCAACTATTTGTGAAACGTTTTCAAACACTGAAACTAATTTCACATGGCATGTGGGTTGTACGAAGTTGCTGCTAATTGTTTTGTCATTGTAAATTGTGTATATTTGTGCATGTGTATAATGTATATATGTTTGTAAAAAGTGGTGCTAATTATTTTGATGTAAATAGTGTGTATTTTTTCTTAATAGATGCTTAGTAGATGTAATGTGTAATTATGCTAATTGTTTTGTGGTTGATGTAGGCCTTCAGCGTGGTGTTTGAGAAAGCTATAGACCGAGCTGAGGTGGCAGAGGAAGTGAAGGCAAGAGTCAACAACCTGATTGACTGTATCACCTACTCAGTGTTCATGTATACAGCAAGAGGACTCTTTGAGAGGGACAAGATCATCTTCACAGCCCAGATGGCATTTCAAGTATGTGGTAGTAGTTCCCATGTGTATTTTATTAACTTTATCATTATTTATTTTTTAATTTTCTTGTGTCATTTTGGGAAACTGTATGTGTTATTTTTCTAAATCAGTTAATCAGCTGCAGGTCCAGAAGAATGAAATCATTCAATTCACGATATAATTTAATTCTTTATTCTACATAATTGTTTCAAGCAAAAAAGAAATGATAGGTATCTTCAAAGGGATGACCACATTGACAGTGTTGGAAATATATTAAATTTGCATGAAATAAATCATTATTTTGGATACTAGCTCAGTTTCTTGTCTGGTATGTAAAATATCTACTTTTCAGATCAGATACTAATTTGGAACTTGTAAATTTTGAAGATTTAGAAGAGAATTCTTAAGTGCTGTATGCGAAACTATATGTCTTATGTCTAAGTCAGCTGTAGAATGGAAAAAGGACGAGTTTGAAAACTGAAGTAGGAAATTAGGTAGAGAATTATTATGGTATGGTGTGCTGCCACAATTGCACATAATAGGCATAAGTGATAATTACAAGAATTGACAATGGGGCCCAGCCTCACTTTGCTGAGGTTCCCAACCTAAAACAATATTCATTTTTGTTGGGCATTAAGAGATTAATGCAATTAAGATCAGTCTAAGAAATACGCCCTTGGTGATTTAGTCTCTGGGTTGTAACATGAAATACATAGAGATCCCACCCCATAACTATAAACATCTGTTAGGCCTTAGTATACAAATACGTTAATGCTACCAGGATTCGCCATGCCCCTGGTGACTAGACCCTGAGTTATCACATAGATAATGTTGAGATCAGTACCCTAACCATTCGCGTGAAAAGGCAACATTCATGGTACCAGAATTTCCTCAGAGTCCACCCTCTGTTGGTTAGTCCTTGAATCATAACATGGTATACATGGTCAGTCTATAGCTATGTGTACAATTGTTAGGCATAAATGACCTTTAAACAAAGGTAAATTTAGTTCAATAATAACTCACTTGACCCTGTGCTAATCGAATCCTTACAAGATTTAGACTTTCTCCCTCAATCAATTTAAAACAAGGTCAAAACATCTGAGCGATGTGAATATACTAAATTCAGTTACCTTGATTAATATTTTATTTTTAACAAAAGGTTGAAGCTACATAATTCAAATAAAGGGTGACATACATTTGTATTTTAAATATTGGTCTTTTTTTTTCTTTATCTCTTATAATTATATTTTTCTATTCTATTCTATGGTTATTGATTTTGTATTTTGTTTATTTTACAGATCCTTTCAACAAACAAGGAATTGAATCCTGTAGAATTGGACTTCCTTCTCCGTTTCCCTGCAGTGCCAAATGTTATTTCCCCTGTTGATTTCATGAACAACAACAGCTGGGGAGGAATCAAGGTAAGAAATGGAAAAGTATTATTTTCTTCTTTAATTCAAATAAGTTCAATAGTTGTTGAGTTCAAAAGCTTACATGTACCAGGAACAAAGATGTCTGCTACAGATCATGGTCAACTATAACATACAACCATGTCTGGTACAGGTCATGGTCAACTATAACATACAACCATGTCTGGTACAG